AAGGCTTCCTTCCAATAGTAAAAACAATGACTTCCCACATCTGGTCATGCTCAGAGTAGCACATTCAGTATTGGTCACCATGCTTTTCAAAGTGGTCCTAATGTATCACACGTAGAAGGAGGAGCAGGGGACCACAGATGGTCAGGAGTCATGAGCTGGGCTAACTACAGCACCAGGCCCACCAAAGCACACACAATACAAACTAATATCTGCCATTAATTCCTCGAGTGCCAAGATTTAAAAATAATTTTGAGGTCATATCTACATAGTGCTAGATTAGCTGACAGTTTTAGACAAGTCCCAAATGACAACTAATAAACTCAAGTTGTTTGGTACCATGTAGTGACTTTTCAAAGGCTTAATTCATTTCAATTTTCACTTTTCAAACAGATCGTATCAGCATATCCTCAACAATATTTATTGAGCACTCTGAAAGGAATTAATTATAAGAGAGTAGAGGTTGTTCTCTGGACTTTCACCCCTAGAAGACTTCTGTGGGAAGCTTCAGTGGTGCCCATGATTCAGAAATATTGTATGGTTCGTGTCCCTTGCCAGGCCTGAGTTCTCTATTCTCTTTCAGCACCATAACACTCTTAAACTAGAGTAAGAGATAATGTTCCTCTTTGCCCATCCCTTCCACAATTTTCTACTTTCACTGAAAGATGCTCACAAGTTCATTTCGATCAAAGATTTTTCATTCTTTTTTTTAATTTTGTTGTTTTTCCCAACTATAGGAATCAGATTGTAAACTTACAAAAAGAGATAGAATTAAAGATGAATTATCACTTCTGCATAGTTGTACACAGCTCCTATCAAGTCACTGGTGCTAGTCAATGTACCTTATATTATAAATAAATATGTATTCAAATGTTTGCTATCATCTTGAGCTCCTTTTTTTTTTTCCTGTAAAAACCAGAGAAACTGATCTTTTTGCTCTTGTTTATGACTGGGGTTATGGAGCTGTCATGCGTGAAATTACTTCTTGAATTCAAATTATAGTTTTTTCTAAATATTTTTAGCATGTTCCTATTTTTCAACCCAGAAGTATACTCTCTGGAGACTCTTTGTCATTGTGAAAACAAAAGACAACAAAATGTGGACATCTAGACTATAGGAAAACAGATTCTACCAAACACAAAAGGATTCATTCAGGGAAAAATTCACCCTGAGACCATCTACTTTTAAAAACCAAACTGCTTTTGTTCTCTGTTTCATAAAGATTTAAAAAAAAAAAAAAGAAAAAGAAAAAGGAAAAGAAAGATCCTAGAAAACTCTTGTCTCCATTGGACTTCCTGATTTAGAAATTTGAAAGGGGCTCTAGATGGAAGATTGAGACCCCTGTGTCCGAGAGCTTGCTACATTGGAAGCAGAAAGACTAGGGCAAAGAGGTTAGTTAGTTCATTTCATAGCGACTTCAGTCTTATAAATTATCTGTGATACTGTAAGAAACTTGACAATGGCTATTGCTTTCTATAGTTTTCCTTAAGTGTCTACACAGTAGTGGACTACTCCATATGGTCAGCAGACAGCCTGAGTGGTGTCCAAGCAAAGTGGAACCACACAGGAAACTGTCAATTATATCCATGCCTTCCTTGACATCTATTTTATGTGATGTTCTAATATTTCAACCAATAATCTCTTCAATATTTTGCCTATTAATGTCCTAACTAAACTAAATTGCTTAGGTCTAACAAGCTGACTTCAACTTTCAGATAAGATGTTTATGGCTGCAAGAGAGGGAATAAATGATCAATTGATTTTTATCCTTCACTTTCTTTGGAAATTGCTTGAATGTTAATGTCTCCTTAGAGGAGAAGTCTAAAAGATTGGGCATCTCTTAGTCTCTTGAGTTTATTTGAAATATAATATAGCCACTTAAAAATCAACATTCCTTTTATTCTCCCGTTTTCTGAAAAAACACAATTGAAAATTAACTTCATCACCTGGGAGATTTCTTTGACAAGAATTCAATAACTATTTTGTGCTTGCATCAGAGGCCTAGAATTTTTTTATAGATCAAATAAATTTATAAGATTATTCTAAATTGCATATCAGTGGTAAACATTTAGGACCCATCTTTGAAACATTTACATATCACACAGATTTGGAGACAATAAATCAAAAAGAAAGGTTGATTCAATAGACTAACTTATTAAGAGGCAGATATATCTTCAGGTCAAAATGTGCCAATCAGTTACACCAATCCATATAGTCTCAGTCTCGAAGCTTCTAGAGGACTTTCTAAGGTGGAACCCACAAATAGTCAAGACTCCTTTACCTGCCTATATATAGCAGCTTTGAGAATTTAAAGGCATTGCCTGGATTGCTTTTTCAACACTACACTCAAGCACATCCCATGCAAGAACTGTCATCCATATCCAGTCAAACAATTTCTGTGTATAACACAGAGGTTCCTCTTACCTTCTCTGAATGTCATTTCATCAACACTTGTTTCTTGTAGAGAAAGGTCTGTGATAGCCTTATGAACAATAAAGAGATTCTCTTCTGGTTTTTCTGGGAAAAAGCCAACAAGATTAATATCTTAATATTTAAGTAATTCAAGGTTAAATAAAATATCAATTTAGACTCTAAGTAGATTCTTTGATTTTTTAAATTATGATTACTAAAAATAACTCAGTCTTCCAGCTCATTTTTCATTGGTTCCTTTTATTTATGAGCACAATAATAACTCTCCTTTAATAGTTACATAAGGTATGGAACCATGAATTCAGATACTTTCAGGTATATTTAGAAGGAAAAGTTGAAATTTTGAATTTCTTTTGCTCAAATAATAAAAAGGCTATCCATAATAATAATAAATAACAGTACCTAACATTTAACCAACACTTACTTAGTAATCCTTCCAACAACCCTACAAATGTTGGGTTTTCTTCTACTGAGAAAACTAAGTCTTTAGGAGGATAGGAATGTTGCTAGGGTCACAGAGCTATCAAATAAATAAGCTTGTATTTGACCCGAGGCAGCCCCAGTAGAATAAGAGGTCACATTTGAGCGGGGACAGAAGTGGGAGGATATATAGCTCATTCCTGTCATAAGTTTATCAAAAGATTCTGACTTTATAAATCAAATCAAGTAAATTGAAGAGAAGAAAATTGTTTTACCTTTTAGACTCTCCTCATCCATGGACCACTTGAGCAGCACGTTCCCTTGTAATTTTTCACTTTTCTCCTGATTTCCTTCTGTGGGTAAATCTTCAAGACTAGGTTCTATCCGGTAGAATGGTGGGGTGCCATCCACATCACTGACTTCCTCATTGGTTTTAGTGATCGGTTGTTGACCTTTTTCAGGTGGTGTATCCCCATTACACTCAACCTTACTGAATGTCACTGGAACATCTGTCATGGTGAGCAGTTGAGTTCAATTTAAAGAGAGCTTTGGGGAAAGTGAGTGAACAGATTTTTGATACGATGTATTCTCTTGCCTTCAGTCTATAGTTCCAACTCCTACTCTAAGAATACAAATTATTGACTTTAGTACATAATAACAAGCTTATTTTCCTAAAGGTGCCCAGATAGAGCTTAGAACAAAAGCAACAGGGTTTGTCAGATTTGCCACCAGCCCATGAACAAGAATCGGGCCAATCACCACCTTCTTTGTTGCTTAGCAGTCCTCCTTGCAGAATTAATGGCAGCCTTTGATTTACATAAACAAATAATCTGAGGCAATCAGGCTTTTGTGTTAGCCTGTAGAGGGGGACTTGCAGCTTGTCAGTCCCCCGCTGGGAACAGAGATTTTTGTCCCTTTTCATAATGGCCCTTTGTCATTTTCCTTGTAACAGGAGCCACAATTGTTCCACAGCTTTAATCCATAGAGAATGACTACCTTGAGGCATATTAGTTCTGCATAACCAGCTTAACATTTCAAAACAGATTTTGTTCAAGTAAAACCTCAGCTATTTTTTAGGAGACAATGGCTTCGTTTCTTATTTATTAAAGAATAAAAACAGCTTATCAAAAACCTGTAAACAGGACAACTCTATTGTAAGTGGTTCTGGCAGCAGATTCTATGATATGCTTTCAGGAGCCCAGAGAAGTAACCTAAGAAAAAAAACAAAGAATTCTGCCATCTTGCTAATACCAAAAATGTTACAGTTTTAGAGTAAGGCATTTGGTATATAGCTTCTTATCCTCTAGTTTACTTACATCTATTGAAGCCCAAGCCATCCTTTAAAACCTTAATATAATTTTCTCCATGAAGTTCTGCCTCCCCCAATCAGAATTATTCTCTATATTCCCTACTGATATTGCACGAAGCTAGTAAAATACATAGGACCAGCACAGTCTGCCCTTGGGAGAAACAGGTGAATATGTAAAACATCTGTTACCTACCACACATTCCTTTTAAAAGAAGACATCAATTCTTTTCCTTTTTTGGATCTCATAGGTACAAAATGAACCCAGGGCCTTTGTCCATGCTGCTCCCCTGCTCGGAATGCCTTTATTTTCCTCAAGGCTAAATCCCTGGCCTAACCAGGTCCTCTAAGTTCTCAGCTCTGAGGCTGAAAGATCATTTTTTTAATGACACTTTTCCTGACCCACAGAATTAAGACAGGAGTATTCTTCACAATTGTGATTAAACAAGTAATTGCACACTTATCTGTGTCTCTTTCACCAACTAGAATCTAAGCTTTACCTGGACAAGGACCATAGTTAATTTATTACACGTGTTCCCACCTTGTAGCATCTGTCTTGAACTAGGTAGGTACTCAATATAAATATATAAATATATGTATTATTATTATTATTATTATTATTATTATTATTATGTGTGTATATGTGTGTGTGTGTGTGTATGTGTGTGTGTGTGTAAATATTACTCCCAAGGTAACACATTTTAGATCTTTTCTAAAGAGAAGAAGAAAAGAGGTTGGACAGTAATTGTAAATTTATCACCTTTAAAATTGTAGCTAGGGCTGAGCTCATTAAGGTATATGTAAGGAATGACAAATAATAACAATGGTCTCAGCCTTCTCTCAAGCACTTGGAAAACGTCTATCTCTAACAGATCCTAGAATTGTCTCCTTTGTCATCACTAGCTCTTTACTACCCAACACACTACTTATTTGTTTGGGTAGGAGAGGAAAAACAATTTTCACTCTCCCCTTCTGAGTTCTTGGCTGAGACTTTGTAATATAAGACAGATTGACAAAAGCAAAAGAAACAGAAGTTTTTTAACATGTGTACCTCTATACATAGGAGATACCCAGGTAAATTTAGTAACTTCCTGAGATGGCCCAACCTACGGACCACCTTCAGCTAAAGAAAAAAGAAAGAAAGGTGTGTATTGGTGGGTGGGAGGCCTGTTGTGAGGGGTTATGAGGAAAAGCACAGTAAACAAGGGTAAGCAGATTTGTTATGCTGATTTATTATGCAGATTTAAGTGGGTTCCTTCTCCACTGATAGGATTCTCCTGTGATTTAGAGCCATCCTTCTCTCCCTGGTACAGAGAGGGAGACACACAAATGGAGATTATCTTTATAAATGTCAATTTCTCCTAAAAAGGGGAAATTTCCCTATATCCTCAACTCTGTTTTCAGAGCTTCTCCAGTGTCTATTGTTTCTCAAAAATAATTGGCTCATTGTAATCATTATGCCAAAGAGATATATTTTGGGGTGGCATATTCTGTTACCCTTCATTTGCTTGTTGTTAATTTCTTTAACACACATTTATAAAGCACTTATTATATGCCAGGCACTATTTAAATTGCTTCACAAATAGTAGTAACACATTTGATCTTCATAACAGCCCTGTAAGTTAGGTGCTATTATTATCCCCTTTTCACAGACTAGAAAAGCAAAGCCCAGAGAGATTAAACAACTTGTTCAAGTTCACACAGCTAGTAAGCCTACTAATGGAAGTGTGCATCAAAGATCAAGCTGAGTACCATCTCTGGGATGTTTCCTTTGGCCATAAGTCCCGCTGGGTTCTAGCCTGATGAATTAACCACCTTGCCAGCAAGGTGTACAAGAAGTAGATGTAGCCAGGAAAGGCCAGCAGCGTGCCTGAGGTGGCATCAAGGCCTTCCCAAGACCAACACCAGCTGCTGAGGACAGTATTGGGAGGACCAGGGAGTTTCCTTCCACCAGGAATGACAAAATTAATCTCTTAATTCAAAAATCAGAATCTGGAGCCTGAAGGCAAGGTCGGTCCACCCCACCGACCTGGGAGTGAGAACAGCCCAAAACATAGGGCAAGAAGAAAGTATTGCATGGAATTAGATGGGTGGATGCAGAAACCAAGGCCAAAGTAGGAACATAGGGAGACATGCTAGATTGTGAGACCCTAAAGAGGAAGTGGCACTAGTTCTACCAAATGCCCAGCAATAAACATACAAATGTAGAAATGCTCACTTTAGCCTTAAAGACCTGTCTTCAATCACTCTCAGTTCTCTTCAGACTTGTAAGCACTTCAATTCAGGGACACAGCAGAGTTTAGAGGATTTAATTTATCTCTCCTACACATAGGTTTCTATGACCCTATAGCAACCCTCAACTTATATCTCTGGCTTTATGTCTACAGGAGTTTAATTTTTTTATTATTATTATCTTCTTTCTCATGCTATGCTTTGACATTTTTTTCCTGTCACTAGAACTATTTCATACTTTGAAAGACAGAAAAATGATCCAGAGTTCCATCTTCATCAGCTAACCACTGTGTTCACCTCTATAAAAAGCAGTATTTTTATGCTGTCCTACAAAATAATGGAGGTCGGGTAAATGGTTTGTAACATATATTATTTTTTTCTACAAGTAGTTGCTAACACAAGATACATTTAGCATCAAGATGAGTCTATCCAACTAAAAAAAAAAAAGAAACATGGGATATTTTATCCATAAAGAGGTAAGTTGCCACCCATAGTTTGCAACAACCTATTACTTTTAAAGTATGTTATAATTTGCACTAATGATCCTTAATTCAAATACTACTGCATATCAAATCTCCACTCCATGAAATACAACTTTTTTGGGGGCTGGCCGAGTGGCTCAGTTGGTTAAGAGCTCGCTCAAGAGTGTGAGTTCTGAGCAACAGTGGTTCAATTCCCTGTCCGAGCTGAGCTGCCTCTGAGCTGTAAACAGGTAGCAGGATGGCTCAGCTAAAGAAAATAAAAATAAAGAAATATAACTTGGTTTTTTTTAGATAATTTACTGGATTAGTTGTCCTTTTCCCTAGTTATTTTTCTTAATAGTAAAGAACAACGTATAAATGTAACCATTTCAAATCTATAACAAAATACAATAATGATTAGATCTTTCTATGGGAATGTAAGGTATCAAAATAAAATTATGTAAATTTCCACATTCCGTTTGTCAAATGCCAAATGATTCAGGTTAAGGCTCTATTAGGTCCAGAAACAAGATTTGGACAAAAGTCATAATATGTGAAAAACCAAACCACAAGTTAGTGTTAACAGTTCATACAGCCAATGAGCACCGAATAAAAACAAGAAATAAATTTAAAATTTCAGTTTTTGATTCTGGCAACTTGGAGCCAATATATAAACAGAGATTTGCATAGTTGAGACAGGGGTATTGCATTAATCAGGGTTGAAACAGAAAGATAGAACCACTAAGAGATCTATCAATCTATCTATCATCTATCTATCTATCTAAAGGAATTTGATCTTACAAAATTGTGGTTGCTGCTTAAACTGTCTCTATAAGTCTATTGTCAAGCCTGGTGCTGTAGCTAGAAGTCTACAGGGCAGGGAGTTGGAAGGGAAAACGGGCATATGAGGCAACAAGCTGGAGACACAAGAACACGCTGGAACATACACAAACAAACTGAAACTCGTATTAGTTTTCACTGCCTCTGACCTTAGTGGTATGAGTGTCCCCCAGGAGAAGTTGGTCCCCTCGTCATGACCCAGGAATCAGAGGAGCTGAAGGAAGATCCACGGGAAGGTGAAGTACTTGCAGGCTCAGTGCTGCCCCCTGCACACGAGAGCCAGCAGATCAGCAACAGTGTGTGTGAACTGCAAAATAGCTGCTGCTCCACTTCTGCGCTACAAATCTCACCCAAGGATGTCTCTTTTAGCCCACCTTTTGTGTGTGTGGAAATGTTGAGGAAAAAGAATTCTGGGAAATGTAGTTTAGACTGGTCAAGCAGGAACATAACCTCACAACTCAGGACTTTCAACACCTCTCCAAACCAATGTGGTAGCATATGCAAATTTTCATGTCAAAATCCCACCAAAATCTCAGAGAATCTTCTGTGGGGAGTAATGTCTCAAGAGGGTGTGCAACACTGAATGACCCTGAAAAGACAGAGTAATCTGAAATGGTTCACTTAAGGGATTAACTTTCCAAATTGAAAGGACACCCCAGCAAACATGAATTGTTACAGAAATATAAAATGTTATAACATAATGAAATCAATCAGTACCCATGCATTTTACTTCAAAAAACAATAACTGCCTGCCACCTGGTATAAATTAAATTAAGTTGATTACCTTGTGCTATCTTATCACCTTATGTTTATATTCAAGCCTAGTGTGAAACAACAGCTGTCATTTTAGCAATATAAAATCTCACAATAAAGGATGGTTTCTCTCAGGAAGCCAAGAGTGAAGTCTGTGGATATCACATGACTTTTAAGAACTAATGTAACAGAATTG